AAATTTTTTTAAAAAAGGGAAAAGGGGGTTTTTTTTTTAATGGGGGGGGTTTTTTTTTTTTTTTGGGGTGAGGAAAGAGATTTATTAGAGGGGGTATATTTGGTTTTTAAAGAATTAAGGGTGGGGGGGGGGGTTTTTTAAAAATTAAGTAAAAAAAAGGGGGGTTTTGGGGGGTGGGTTTTTTTGTTTTTTGGGAAAGGTGGGGGGGGGGGGGGGTTTTGGTCGGGGAAAAGGGGGGGGAAAAAAGGGGGGGGGGGGGGGGGGGGGGCACAGCACCGAGGGGCACATTTACTCGGCGCAGACGTGCATGCGTATACTCGGCATGTTTGTGGAGAGGCAGGCTATGACTGCCGTACAAGTACGAGCTCTGGGTGTTGCAACAGAGGCGCAGCATTCGGCGGACGCCCACACGAGGTCGAGGTCGATCCGCCCAACAAATAACGCCTTCCCAGGTAAGGTGGTACCGGGGAAGAGCGTGTCTTTCTGCACGGTAAACAAACCGTTCCGGTCTCTGCTCGGTACCTCCTAACATCTGTACCGGTCCAAAACGTGCGCGGCCGCCTTCCGTGGTCACAGGCCAAGTACCAAAAAAAGGTACACAAAAAAACTGAACAAGACGGAAGGTTTGCACGGATCCGCAGGAATGGATAGTGCACCATTCGGGCTAGAGAGCTGGAAAGGGTGAATTCGGGGTGCGCGGCCGACATGGTTTCTCTTGTAACGCGGATCAAACCTCACGCCGCTTCCGTTCATCACTGTTGTTTTTTGTTCGGTCAAAGGAAAGGAGCAAGTAGACGCAACGGCATCTGCCTCGGGAGTAGGGCACACCGGGTACAGTAGACCTCAGAGCGCATGATCTCCACCCTGAACACGATGTTACGCCTGCGAGGTCATCTTTACACTATCTATGATCTTCATTTCACCTGGTCCGAGCCTCCGTGCCTTCCATAGCTCATTGTCTCCGGTGGTTTGGTGTGGCAGGCTGTCCGTTACGCCAAGGGACCGATGATGGTTGATGCGTCAAACGTGCGACACAGGCGTGGGCTCACGAGATTCACCACAATCAACGTCCGGGGTGGGGGGGGCTGGATTGCGGTATGCTTATGTACAGGAGACATACCAACCTATGCTATTCCTACTGCTGTAAATATGCATAGTAGGGGTACAGATCCACTCCACGTTACGACTACCGCGGACTGCTTGCTGTGTGTGGAATTTCTTCCCCCCCCCTCCTCTACACGCAACGTGGGGCAAAGACAAGGTCGGCAACTTGTCGAGGGCAACCGGGCGCGCATCACCACGATGAAGGTTTGGTCTACACCACGCGGAGGAACCATCTGGCTGGTGTGCTATCTACCGTACAATAGCGTCGGCAAGACTTGACCCTCCTCACAGCAGCGAGAACAGATTGAAAAGAAGAAACAAGGGCCGACAGCCGCTACGAGCGGCGCAGACCCGGATCCTCAACTGGAGCTACACGTAGTACATGCACAGCAGCTCTTGAAAGGCTGGCTGCATCCGCCCGCCTCAACATGCCCAGTTATGTGCACAGACCGCGGAAGTCCATGGATTGACCGTTTTTGCGGACTGCACGCACCGTGGGCGTGGTGGTCAACGTATGCAGAGGATAGACTCAAGTTGCTTGGGACGGCGAGCACGAAGGGAGGCACAGCTAGACTGGTGCTAACGTGCTAACACGCGAGCCCCGTAAACCGCAAAGAAGTCGGGGAGATCGCGGTATCTGAAGGAGCACCAACACACACCCGACCGCTGCTGGCAGGTTCCCGCGTTGGCGCATAGACTACCAGGAGAACAGATCTTTGTATCCGATGATCCCCGCTAGTTCATTGCTGCTGGTGAGTATGTCAAGCGTTCTCCGGTAAGTCGACCGACCTGCCAGCAATACTCCTCCCCTTGATTACGTTTCACTCACCGTTTTTAGAAAGCTTGGCAGGTGGTGGCAGTAGAGGGATGCAGGCGGAGAGAAGGCAGACGCGTCGTTCACAAAAAAAACAAGAGGGAACGCCTTGTTTCATTTTTTGTCTCCCCGCTCCCCCCCCCACCCCTACCCACCCACCTCCACCGCATATGACATGTTTGTTGTTTTTCTTGTCCTTTCTCGGACCCACAACACACGACGGAGGCAGCAACAATTTCATTATTGACCTCACGTTCACGTCCGCACCATGAGCTTCCTGAAGGGGCGTTAGGTCGCGTTGATTTTGATGCACGCATCCGACAAGCTGACCATTCGTAAACCTCCGACGGGCGAGATCTTCACGCCCATCATGTAACGAGTTACCTTTACCTTGTGCCGATAAAGGGTATGTCGTTCGACGGTGCCCGTGTTTATAGGCATACATAGGCAGCGTCGGGATAATGCGTCTGTCTTGGAAGTCAGAGAAAGAGGAGACAATGCGAGTGCTTTCGTCCGGCGAGCGACAACGCGGGACGCTCACACGTGCATGCATTGTATTCGTGGACCTCAAGTCATTGCTAGAAGTGCTCCTTCCCGTACCGTGCAGCAGACAAGCGCGCGTGGCCGCCTGGCCACAGCCGTATGAACCAAATGCACCCGTTAGGAGGAACGAACTTCGACACCAACAAAAACACACGCCGAATAAAACGAGAGAAGACCCGAGCGCACACCACACACGATAGTATCACTTGTCAACCCCAGTTCCGACAAGTTGGAACATGACACGATCACGAGAGAGACTACCACAACTGTAGTTGGAAAACTTGATAAGAAACACACGGCGGTGGGATTACGTTGCAAACGTCAGGTCGACAGAATGCAACTCGTACAACCGAGCTCGCCGCGCGTCGTCTACACACAGCTCGATCCCCCCGACATCTGGAGCATCACAGTGACCCCCTGCTGCCCCTTCTGTAGGTGCATCCGCCCGGCCGACATCCTTTCCCCCACCCTCGCCGCCGCTGCTGTGCCCCTTACTTCCCTCCTCCTTGTTGTCGCCGTTCAGGATCTCAAACGCGAACCCTGCTTGGGCAAACGCCCGCTCGACGATGTCGTACGTCACGCCGGCTCTCGGGATGTGGCACAGGAGCATTCGACCGCCCGCCGCCAGCATGTCTCGGACCGTTCGAAGGAACGGTTCTAGGAGGCTGTGCTTGTAGAGCACATCCCCCGCCAGAATGAAATCGAACGACTTCAACGGCGATGGCGATGATGGTAGACTGTCTCGCGGCGGTGGCGGCGGCCCCACGTTTCTATCTTGTCCTTCACAAGATGTGCTAGCGGGATCTTCGTTGAGATGGCCGTTTCCACTACTTGCGTTGGGGGAGTGACCATGAGCGCAAACAGCCACGTCGCCTGGCACCGACGCCTTGTCTTGTGCCCCCGCTGCTAAGGATTTGGTGGGCCCGGCTGCTGAAGCTACCCCGTTCTTCCCGCCGCTTCCCGTTCCGATGACCCGTCGGGAATCCCACTCAGAAAAATCCTTGCAAAATTTCGTGGTCGATTCTTCTTCCCCCCACCTGTCAGCCGAAGAATACGGTTCGGCGGCACAGAGAGGGGGGATCTGTGGGCTGGGGTTTGTTGTCGTCGTTGCTACTGCTGCTGTTGTTGCCTTCGCATCAAAAACATATCTGAACTCTATCCAGCATGGTACCTCTTCTTGCGATACGTACTCTTCAAAGCACGGGATCGAAAATCAGTGGTCCAAGACTATCCACCGCAAGGCCGAATTAAACAACACAACGATTCAGAGAACGTCCCACCATTCTCAAAAAAGTGATAATAGATCCTAAAAGTCTAGCCCAGAGAGAAAAAAAACAGAGAATGACACAAAACAAAAAAACGCGAACAGGAAACGCAGTTTTGCTTCAAGACAAAACGACGCAGCAATGCGAAACACAAGCAGGAAGGACTGAGCGACCTACTCACGGTCTCGAGGCGACTGCACGCTTACCGAAGGGCCGTGACGAGCGCTTGGTCAAACGGGACGTCGTTGTCTTGGATGTTCTTCTGCGCCATTGCCACGCACCTGTGCCAAGAGACCGGTACACACAGCAAAGGGTGGGCGGTGTCGTGTATTGTTAATCGATATGTGTGTGGTGCGGGACTCCAAGCAGTTCCAGGTTGGAAAGTATGCGATGAAAGGTGGCGTCAGGCATCTGCCAAAACTGAGAGCAGGGTTAAAAAACACCACCTCGAGCTCGTATCTTCTGCTGTCGGATCGATCGGATCTATCCTCGTCCACTTCACTCAGAGGGGAGTGTTGCTTTAGGGGACTTGCCACAGGGCTGCTGTTGCCCTGCTGTAGCATCGTGCGTCCTCCGTCTGCTGCGAGCGCATCAGACGCGAATCCAGTGCACTACCATTGCGTCTGCGCTACAACTGAGCCCCCCTCCCCACCGATCTTTTTGACTCTCTCCCTCGCTGCAGATCACTTTCTTTTCGCTCTCGATCCTGTGCCCAGTTTTGTCCCTCTCATACACTCTTTGCCTTCGGTCTCGAGTTCTTTTCTGTGGGCCTCAAGTACCTGCCCAGCGATCGTTCTCTCTCTCTTCCCCTCTCTTCTGTTGTGCCCCATCTTCTCTGACCTAGGACTACATTCTATGAACAAACACACACACACACACCTCTATCCCTCTCACTTGTCATCGCCGTCGGTAAGGATCAGCGTCTGTGCGCCGAGTTTAGCAGCGAGCATGCCGACGATCCCCGTCCCTGCTCCAAGCTCTAACACGGATTTGCCTTGCAAGTCCAACTTTGGTTTTCCCATCCCTCGACAGCAGTCACCGGCGCTGCTGTTGCTGTCCTCGTTGCGGCAGACCTCGACGAGGTAAGCGCACAGCAACAGAGAACCTTCCCACAGCCGCTGTCCGCTTATTTCCTCGCTGATTCGGTGGTTCGTCGGTGGGCGGGGGGGAAATGGGAGAATTTCGCTATTACAGCAAAGTGTAGTCGGGCGTTGTCGTACATTTTTCATGGCGTGCGGGTTCTTTGATCTACCGTCTACCTACATGTGTGGTAGACCACGACAGGGGACTGATCTGCAGGGTCAGCGCCAGCCATACACCGCTGTGGCGCATGTAAATAGTCGGTGCCACGGACATCCTGAATAATAGTGTAGAGAGAGAGGAGAAGCGACAGTCCAGTGCAACTTGGTGTGGGTGGTCGTGTGGTCTTCATCCGCCAAGCTTGCATAACTACCTGATGAACGTGAGGCTCGGCAAATTGCTGTGGATGGTTCTGCGAATAACCAGCTGCAGAGCTGAAGGACGTTACAACGTCCGTATAACAATACATCACATGCAGACGCGTGCAGCATTGGAAGGAGGTAGGCATAAAAGGACACAGCAACAGCAGAGGAAGTAGCCGGAAAGTCGGAGTTACCTTCTTGTTTGCAAACTCAACAACATCTCGAGCGGTAAGGCCTCGTTGGCAACCGTGGTGACCTTGAAGACATGACTTCCCAGGCGTACCTCTTGCACATCGTAGTCGAGCTCGTAGTCCTCCATATGGCGCTCCTCCACTTGCCCTCGAACGATCGATTGATTTTGGTCCGCTGGATCTAACGCGGTCGAGAGGGGGGGGGGGGGACACGAGGTGAATGACCCCTACTGGGTAGACATCCCTCCACGGCCTTGACTCAAAGTTGGGCACACGCATCGGCACACGCGTTCCCGAAAGGGCACCCCCACCTCTCCCTCGACAGCCCCTAATAGCATCGCTGACATCCGCAAGAGAGAGAGAGAGAGAGAGAGAGAGAGGAAGTGCGTCAGTTCGTCACGCCCCAAACCTTAACCTTGCTCAACGCTGAGCCAGCACAGCCAGGTCAGCAGGCACCATCAGAGGAGTTGCAGCCTAGGAGTCAGGAGAGACGAGAGACCATGCCACGCAGCCGGTGGCCGAACACGACCCCCTCCGGGGCGGGGCCGGCCTGTCTCGTCTTGGGCCTCTTGCTCAGCAGGTCCGGTCGCTCCGTGCAGGCCTTCGTCCCCGCCCACCATCGAGGTGTTTCCTCGTTGACGCCGCCGTCCGCGCCGGCAAGGGGAGGGCGAGCCTTGGTGAGGCCTAGGGCGGGAGACATGAGGCTCTCGGCCACGGGGGGTAGCGGCGGGGCCGGAGATATTGACTCGTCCGAGTTGTACGCAGATATGCGTCGCCGGCTAGAGGTGAGGGCGTTGGCGGAGGGGCGGTGAAGGGCGCGGATATTGTGTATATAACAGAGGGGGGAAAAGGCCAGAGAGAGTCAAAATTCCGTCATTTTTTCATTTTTCGAATAGCCCATCAACCTCAAGTACTGACCTCTTCTCTTCATAAGGGGTGCTGCGTGTGTAAGTCCGAAGTGGCGAGCTGGTGTTAGCGCGAGAGGGGTCGAGGGGAAAGATTGGACCTGTTCGCGAGAGGGTGTATTTGATCAGTACACAGAGGTTGCCCATACATTGGTCCTTGTGCTCCTCACGAAAAGGCATGTAGCCTAGTCCATCATGTGACATCATGACCTGTTGAGGCTTCAAGAACCGCCAGGCAGCTGTTTCCATGCAGTGATTGAGATTTGCGTGTCTTGTTGTAGATGCATGGGCGTGGTGTTGCCGCAACCCACTACAGGACTTGCCTCACTCACTTGCGATCGATGTTGTGACCTAAACGTAAGGGTATAGCGTAATTTTGTTAGCAGCAGCACTCGTTGTGCATGCACGCGCCCTTTCAAAAGGTATCTGCGCCACACACACCGCACGCATGCACGCATCCACGTTATCCGCAACAGCTCATTCTCGTATTCACTTCTCTCCCGCAACCACCAACCCTTATCCCACTCAGGAGCTACGACAGAGCAGCAGTAGCAGCAGCGACACGGGCTTGTCACCAATAGAGGACGACGTGAGCGATCTAGGTCTGTTCCAGCAGCAAAACGACGAGGATGGTGGTGGGGGCGGTGGGGGCGGAGCGAAGGCGTATTCTGCGCAGGAGATGAAGCAGCGTTACTACGAAGCGTTCTGGCGAGCAAGGTAGGGGTTGGGCGCGCGAGCAATGTGTGTGTTTTGGCACCGCGTGCTTGCTGGAGCGAGGGTGTTGTTTCGGCCCACCCCCAGGCTCCCAAGAACCAAGTTCGCTAGTACGGAGATACATCGGAATGTGGCATGTGCATCCATGTTGTATGCAGCGGCAGAGGCTGAGGTCACCTGAAGTTCCGAATCTACCCAGGACTGCTGAGGTTGAAATGATGAGTTTCTCCAGTTACAGTTCATTGACCGACAATCATGTAGACCCCGTGGCATGCACGTCACATCGCCATAAGCGGTTTACCATGGGCCCGAAACGTCCCGTACGTGATCATGTTCCCACGCTTGTTTTTGTTCCTCCATCTGTCTGGCGCCCTCAACCGCCTGTGTACTGCTGTATTCCGACGCTCATCTCTAGAAACCTGCACAAGGAGGCCAAGTTCGAGGGAAGTAGTGGCATCGAAGACGACTACAGTTCGGACACCCCCGCGCCGCCCGCCACCCCGCCTCCGGAGGCCGAAGCGGGCTCTCGCACAACGATTCTCTCGCACATGGCAATGGACATGTTCCTCTCTCGCGGCGCAGCCGCCGAAGCGGACGATGCCGATGCCACGGCGACCTCCTCCTCGGATGTGCAAGGGCTAACCCAGATGTACTATCTCGAACTCGAAGAAGAGGAACGCGCTCTTGCTTCTACGGCGGCGGCTGCGGCGACGACGGCGGCGGAACCGTTGCCGGTACGACAACCGCAGCACGCGGCGGTGGGCGCCGAAGCCGTTTTCGCTGCGTCAGACGTCGCCGCCGCAGCGGAGTCGATGATTCCTACCGCCGAGCCGCAGGGGTTGACCCAGGTGTTCTTCCTCGACCCCAAGGACGAGGCCTTGGCGGCCGCCGCTCTTCCCGTGGTGCCCGGACGGTCGTTCCTGAGGGAGAGGCTCGGCGTTCCCGGGGAGGTAGTGCAGGACTTGCGCCAGGTGAGAGGGCAGGCCGGTTCGTTGTGTCAAAAGAGGGTTTGTAGCGGTCGGAGGGAGTGGCGCACTGGGCCGGTTCGCGGGCCGAAGGTGGTTTGAGTAGTATATCGGTCGCTTGAGGCCGTTTTTAAAAAGGAGAGCACGTAGGAGTTTGCAGGGGACGCTAGGCGCGGGAGTCCAAGCCGCAAGTCTTGAGGCAGAGGGATGGCTTCGGACACACGGCTTGGGGCGCTTGATGAGGGCAAAGTTTGGTTTGTTTCGGGTTTACTTTTGAGTCGCGTCAGTACTGGACCAACCTCCCAAGTTTTCCCTTCTTGCAACTTCATCAGGTGGAGTTGGACCACGCACGTCTTGCCATGCTCGCCGTGCTTCTGAGCGGTGCTGTCGGGGCGGGGGCAGGGGCAGGGGCCGGCGTGTTATTGAAAGCGCATGACGGCTTCTCAGCGGTGAGACATCAAATCGACTTTGTCCATGTATTCGGTTTCTCGTGGGGCCTATCCCGCTGCCCAGCGGCCTGTATTTGGGCTGTCTTTGGCGTATTGGCTCTTCCGTGAGAGCTGCCTCGCGAGCTTGCGACGACAATTTTTTTTGTATGTTTTGGGCGCGCCTCTGTACCGTGCGTTGAACTGCCGAAAAATCTGCAGCCTCCGCATGTTGCTGTGCTGACGCCGAACGGTTGTAAGCTCGTTTGTTCCCGTTTTGGTCTATATATCGCTTCTCTTGTTGCTACCCCTTCTCTCCCCGAACATGTACATTTTCTCGTCCAATGAAGTCATCCCCCACAGGTTGAACACAAAGTATACGCCTTCCCAATTTTACGACGATATCCAACCCCATTTGGGCATCTTGCCTTTCCCTCAACCTTGCCTGCTGTTGCTTCTTCCGACAAGCAGCTGGCGGACGTTGCGCGGACTCCCTGGCTCGACCCCTACGTGGCGGGTGGCATCCTAGCCGCGAAGGCCCTGTCGGAGGGAGACTGGCGGATCGGCAAGGGCGCCATGGCCGGGTGGGCAGACCGAGCCCTGAGCGCGGTGTCGAACACGGGCGCGAAGGTGCTTCGCCTCGGTTCTGGTAACGAGGTACGTCTGCCGGATGTATCCTGCTTTCGTCTGCTGCTGCTGCTGCTGCTGCTGCTGCTGCTTTTGCTGTTGCAACTGCTTCGTAGTGTTTGGGCGTAGTCTGTGAGGCTGTCTCGTGGTGCGGTGTATACTCACTGGTGGCGGAGCTGTAACCCCGCAGTGATTGGGTCACACAATAGTGGCAATGTCGAAAGTTAACCCGCAGTGGACACCCATGGAACGAGTCGAAACTGGCGTGGCGTGACTCGCTAATATTCCAATGCTCCAACACAGCAACCAGACTACGCGTAAACAGCCTTCTGATTTTATCTGATGTCAAAAATTTCTCGCCTACAGCACAAACTGTGGTGTTGATTGACATCAGCAATGGTGTCTGATGAGTTGGAACATGGGGACTGAAGAATTTTTACACCATTTACTTCCCTTCCGCCGACGCGTGTTCCTACCTCATTCATCGTTGCACGTTTCTTTTTGTTCCGCTCAAACGAGCAGCTTCGCAGGCTTGCGGTCGAGATGGAGGTGAAGCACGGCCGCATGGCACTCGGCGCTGTCGTCTGCGCCATGGCCCAGCAAGGACTTCTGACGTCGGTGGCAGCATGAGAGAGGGGAGACAGGGTCCCCCTCTAGTTGTCGCTGCTGCTCCAGCGGCGCGAGCGTTGGCGTCCGCTGTCTGGGAACAACAGCAACAAGAACTATTTCTTTTTGAATCGTTGAGGCCAGCCAGTGGATATTTGATGGATGCATCAGAAAGTTCCGGCATAGTGATGTTAGATTGCCTCGAGCGTTTCACGAGCTGGGGGGGGGGGTTCAGGGAGGCTGTGGGGCGCGAAGAAGGGAAAGGTGCAAGCCTGCGCGATGTACATGTTAAAAAGCGTCTGGAATTTCGCATTGTGTTGGTTGAGATTTTGCACGCTAGGGTTTGAGTTTTATTGGGCAGTTTTCATAGTGGGTGGTTGGTTGCATGGTTTGCGTGTGCGATTGGGTTGTTAGGATTGAGTGTCCGGGGGAGGGTCAGAGAACTAGCGGTTTTGTGATGGGAGAGAAAAAAATGTAAGGAAAGAAGCGAGGAAATAAAAGCAAGGCTGCTGACTTTGGACACACATCCATGGCGTAGTTCGTGGTGTCATGTCGTGGTTCGGTTGTCCTTTTTCTGGCTGGAGGTGCACGTCGTCGTTCTCGGGAAAGTTGATAAACGGGATGCACCCACGTGTAAATGGCCGCGGGGCCAAAGAGCTACCGTTGGGTTGGTTGTAGAAGGTAAATCCAGGGCTTGTACGGCAAGCTCGCCCTCGACAAGTTTGTTTGCGTCGTACCTTCTTGACCTTGTTTTCTTCACCCATGTAAATGTAGGCCGCTCCCTTGATGCCCCATGTATTTCGTGGATAGTGTTGACGTTAGGGTGCCGGAGTTGTTTTGGTGAGTCGGTGTTCTCTTGAAAGGAGTTGGTGGGATCTCGACAATGCCCCCAAGCAATCGCGGATGTTTTCGTCCCTTTCCGTGAGTAGGCGACAGGGCTGTTGGAAGTGTGATGAATCGACGTTGGGCCGGTATGTTGAGACTCGCGCATGTGTGTAAAGAACGCTGAGAACGGAACATCTTCCCAACAGCCCCATCATGCAGGTATTTGTGATACCAATGGGTGCTCACAGCACGAGCAAACGCATACACCGGGAGGAGTTGGTGCACGGCAGTAGTTCTTTGTTTTTGGGCACATGCATGTGTAGTATTGATTGGTCCTTGTGTCATCTTTCGCCTTGTCAAGGGAGACAACTTGCTGTCACATCGACATGCATAGTGTGCTTCATGTCTCCGTGGAAAAGTAGGTGTAGCGATTCGCACACTATTTGTACATGCAGTCGGGAAGAACTGCACATGCAGTGAACACAACTAGCGTGTCACTCACAGGCACCACAGTAGGCCACCCTTGGCGCCCAACTGAAATCGATGTTCGACAAACGGGGGGTTGTCCTTTGCAGACACAGTTTCCCATCTCTTCAGCCACGCCAACTTTCAAGATTCCGAGGATGATACGTGTGTAGTTACAATAGTCTTCCGCGTGGAGCTCAGCCCAGGCAGGCGTCACTGAATCCCCACTGCATAGAACGCGCGGCGACGCGTGCGATGCAATCCCGCCGGTTGATTTGCTAATTCATGAAACATACGAACCTACTGTGCGTCCAGCCCACACTGAAACCTGTACATTCCGTGATGGCCTCCTATTTGCTTGTGGCGACACGCTACAGCAGTCCTATAGCGATAGTGCAATACTATGTAAATGGTGAAAGAGTGTTGCGTCCCATCTATGTTCACCCGATTCTGCACCTTCGGTATGTGCTCGACGAAAAGTCGTCACCTGGCGTCTCCGCTCACTCCACACACACGACGAACGCAAACACTTGGAGTTGTTTTCGTTTTGACCGTAGGCGCGCCACTACATGGCTTATCTTATTGTTAGTTGTGGAGACTCGACCTTTGTACTCAAGTTGAGTAAAATCGCGTTTCCACCACAGGATTGCAAATTTCATTGGTCCCGAGAGCGATTCGAATCTACAACCTGCAGGACTAGAGCATAGATAATAGTGGTTGTACGAGATTTCGTGCTGTTCTTATTCTCTGGCTGTGTGGGGGCCTGTGCCAGTGACACCCGGCGATTTTTTTTTGTCGCGGGACAGCTTCCACGAGGTTTAATTACGCGGCCGAAGGCCGCGAAAACCATTTGAAACCCATTTTTTTTAAATTAACGGCCGAGAAGAAGAACGGCTCCCAGATATCTTTGTTGGACGTGCTACTGATGCATGCGTAGTGTATTTCGAAGTGTGCACGTACTCCTGACAGCAGTTGCACGCCTTGTGTTGCACTCGTCGATGGGCACATAATTGTGTTTCGAATGCACAACTACAACAACAACTATGTAACTCTGGTTGGTGCCTTCTGGCCTACTTTTTCGTTGTTTCCGGGCATGGTTGCGAGTGCACGTGTTTCCTCTACAGTTTGAACTGCGCAGCAGTAAACATGATGCACATAAAGTACACTACTTGACGACGACCTCGGAACCCGCCTAATACAGGTATTAAGTCTATGCGTTGTGTGCGTACATGCAAGCACAACCGAACAAACTGTGGTTGATGCTGTTTTTTTGCTTTGCTCATCATATTTGTACTTGTTGGC